GAGAGAGAGAGAGAGAGAGAGAGAGAGAGAGAGAGAGAGAGAGAGAGAGAGAGAGAGGAGCGAGAAGAATCACTGGAGGCAAACGACAGACAAACATGAGATAGCACAAGGGCCTTCGGTATGTAGACACAACGATGGTCATTCAAGCAGAGAGAGTGAAGACAAGGAGAGGGAGGAGAGGGAGGAGAGGAGAAGAGAGACGAGAAAGAGACAGAAGGAGGGAGGAGAGGAAGGAGAGGAGAACGACGAGGGAGGAGAGGAAGGAGAGGAGAACGACGAGGGAGGAGAGGGGAAGAGAAGGAGAGGGAGAAGGGAGTGAAAGAGAGGAGGAGAGGAGGAGAGAAGGAGAGGGAGAAGGAGCAGAAGAGAGGAGGAGAATAGGGGAGGATAAGACTAGCGGAAGAGGTGACAATGAGAGGAGAAGACACGCGCACACGAAGAGCAGAAGAGGAGAGCAGGAGGAGAGAGAGGAGAGAGGTGAAGCATGAAGCCAGATCGTTCACAAAGTAGGAGATGCAGAGGGTGGTGGTGAGCAGGAAGAGAGAGAGAGGAGAGGCTAAGGAGGGGGGAGGGGAGTTGTTGCTAATGTTTCATTGAACAGTACCAGCATCTTGGCTGCTTGTTCTCCGTCTCTTGCTATATGATTTTGATCCCGTCGATGACACTGGGTTGGACGGTTGCACGTCCTGACAGATGAAGTCTTCACACTCTGGAATTAGCTCGATATGAAGAAGCCGGTCACTGAAATTCTTGTCGTTGAAGGCAAAAGCGTAAGGTGCAGGGTTGTCCCCTCCGTTGCCCACGTGAAGCTGCGCAGTACGCGATGAGTGCGTGGTCGTCGTGCAGCGAGGATCTTGGCTCCCAATTACTGAATGCATGTCGAAACTTCAGGGCATCATATCAAATCATATATAATATACCTATGAGAGAGCAATCGCCAATCAATCAAGCGGACTGATTGATTGATTGATTGATTGATTGATTGATTGATTGATTGACTGAGATGAGAGATGAGAGCGAGCGGCCTCCGGTGCAAACGCGCGGGGATGTCGGGAGGGGAAAAGCGCGGGAAAGGGCGGGAGGCGCGGAGGGAGGAGCGGAGGCGCGAGGAGGGGGGGGGGAGGGGGAGAAGGCCGAACGAGGGAGGAGAGGGCGGAGGAGGTGCGCTGCTCTCCCAACAGGCGCGCTGTTCTCCCAATCTGATCGAATCGAATTAAATTGAATTCAATTTATTTAATTAAGCCTTGCTAGCTTCCGCAAACACCTTGTCAGGGCCTTCATTCAACGATGGACGCCGCTCCCACAGAGAGAGAGAGAGAGAGAGAGAGAGAGAGAGAGAGAGAGAGAGAGWTATAGTCGTAGTCCAAGCAACGGAATGCAAATGCTAAGACTTGCCTGCACCCATCCAAACAGGAAGATACAGGTAAGCGGAAAAACGTTTTTCGTGTCTTTTTTCTCTTTTGTTTGAATACTATTATGAACGCAGTACTCAAGAAAAGAAATTGAAGAGTTCGAACAAAATCACAGGACGCTATAACGCCCAACTACGCACGGGGGAGAGAGAGAGAGAGAGAAAAAGAGAGGGAGAGAGAGAGAGAGAGAGAGAGAGAGAGAGAGAGAGAGAGAGAGAGAGAGAGAGAGAGAGAGAGAGAGAGAG